GGACATGGTTGGTTTTATACAACAGACCTCTGCAGAGAATAAGAACTATTTTTAAAGGTCAGCTGGGGAAATAGCACTACCCTGCTACTCATTCTGCAGTGATTATCACGGCCACCTCAGTAACAGCCTGCTCAGAAAGACAACAGGGAACACTGCAGAAGAGATTATAATGTAAAAGGGTTTTTAAAAAATGTGTTTTTTCTCCTTAGAAAATGGAGGTTAATATAAAAAACCCAAAGCTCAAACAGCTGGTGGGATGTTGAATGGCTAAATGTAAGTCATGCCATGTGGGTTTTCCTTGTTTCCAAAAATTGAAAGATTCTCACCTTAAATGATTTGTTTACAGGATGGTGGTGACAGCACAAATGCTCAAATATTTTCCTAAGTAAACCAGGACAAAATCCTCTACCCAAACTGGTATCAGCTTACAGCAACATCTACAGACCTGTCTTGGTAGACACCTGCTAAAGGTTTTTCCCACCAGTCAGTGAGTGCTGGAGCCATTTGGTTTGGAGTCAAGTAAAAAAAAACCAAGAACACCAAAAAAACCACAAACAAACAAACAAATAAAACAAAAACACAACAAACAAACAAAACCCAAACACCAGAATTTAAAGAAAAAATACCTCAAAATGTAAGTGAAAGGGTTCTTTCCCCTGTGATTTTTGGGCAATGACCATCTATTTTGTTAACAGTTTAGGTTAGAAGTACCAGCAGGTTGATTTTCTGTCTTTACCTATGAAATAAATGAATCCCTCAGCAGAGAAACAACCGAATTTCTCTATGCCCTCATGCCTAGACAGCAACTGAAATCCAAGTAAATTTGAGCCAGGTGTTCCCAAAACCTGATCTTGTTCTTAAGTCATCATCTGTGATATGATTGCACTCAAAAAGCCCAATCCAAATCCAAAGAGGGTCTCGATGTCTCTTCCTTCCTCCTGTACCAACACCTGGTGATAATCACAGCACTGCTGGGAGAGGCACTAAGAAGATGGTACTTCCCCCAAAAGAACTTCAAATCCACTTGAAGTCAATTAAACACTTAATGGGAGGAACTAAATGGACTAAACTTCCTGAGAGCTTGGCTTTTTCAGGGCAAGCATCCAGCAAAATTACACATGTTCCTTCACATAACAGGGAATATTCTCTGTCTAGGGCTGGTACTGGTGCCTGGATGCACCTTTTCTGTTCATCAGACAAATTCCTTGGGCAAACAGCTGGATTAGAGCTGATGCCCATGGCTCAGCCCTTGGATGCTGTATCTTCTCTTCCACTCCAGTCCAGCCTCTCACTGCAGCAATTAGGAACAGAAAGTCGAGTAAAACAAACCAAAAAGTCATTTAGGCAAAGCTAGGGGGGGTGATTTAAAGTTTGGAGACGTAAAGGATTCACTTCACGTGCGTCTCAGAAGCAATAAATCCTGCTTAGGGAAATGTCTAAGGGGAAAAAAAAAAAAATCCACACTCCTAGGCTATAAAATTCCACCTCTGAGGACTATAAAACAACAGGCAGGGAGCAAACATCCTTTCCAAGCATAATAGGACTGTCAGGAATGACTGACAGCAGTGACAGTGTGTCACCGGCTGCTGTCCCTGCACAGCTCGGGGCCGTCTGGCAGGAGGGCAGTTTTTTATTCCCTCCTGCACCACGTGGAGGATGGGACATGCCGTGGAGGATAAATGCACCTTTTCTCTCCGTCCTCCTAAATGCATCTGCATTATCTCAGCACAGTGTTTAGCTCACAGGACACCGTTCCTGCTCCCTCCCCCTCTTCAGGTGGGCTATGGAGATGAGGGCTCACTGAGCACTGCTTGCTTATCAGGAACCTGTTGCAAACCTGAAGAAAATACCAGAAATGAGCAATCTGGAGATGCAAAGCCCCAACCCTCTTCCAGAGGGAGGGCAGTGCTCCTTTTGCAGAGCTCTGCCAGCCCAGCAGCCAGAGCAATCCATGCGCCCGGGGGGTTTTCGTTGACGAGGAAATCCTATCCAGGGTGTGGGACGGATGGAAACCACTGGGGTCAAGAGATCCTGCAGGTTGTAATGACTTTCATTAAATCACTGTCTTCCCTGGGCAGAATTTGAGCTGACAGCCTATTGCTGAGGGGCTCCACACAGCTTATTACCTATCCCTGCGTGCAGTTCAGTGCTGCTGATGGGGCTGACAGGTCAGCAGCCTCTTGGCCAGCCCACGCCACAGCCCCCAGCACCATTCCCCCACCTCATCTGCCAGCAAAGACATTTCTTGAGGCAGGAGGAGTGCAAAATACACAAGGAAATGCCCCATTCTCCATAGAAAACCATGGTATACGAGAGATAAGATGATTTTTCTCCCCATCCCACAGCTGTTTCTCTATCCTGTGTTTACCAACCACTGAACCTCCAGCACAGCAAATTTCCCCTACAAAGCCAGAGTCACTGCTACCACAGTTGCTCGTACCTCACTACCACAAAACCAGGGCATGAAAATCAGTGAAAAGCAGAGTAAATTGACAAAACAGATGGGGGAAAGAGGTTCTTCTAAGAAGCCAAGGGAGAAGTAAATACAATCTAATTAATGGACTGGGCTGATGTTCAGCAGCACAGAGTCCACGTTCTGACTATCAGAAAATACAGCTGTGAAATCCCAGACAAACTCCCCAGTGCCTCTGTGCTGTGGATTCCCTTCTCCAAGCTGGTGGAAAACTCTGTTGATTGGTTTCGTGATTCATCTTAAGCCAAAGAAATGACTCAAGATCAAAGTCAGATCCGTGGTGGATCCTTTGCTTCATTCACATCTCCTGGTGTGTGTCCAGGCAGAGTTCTAAAAATGTCTCCAATTTCCCTCCATGCCAGAAGGGCAGCAGGCACCAGGCATCATCCCCACACCATCCCTGCCTCTGCAAGGTGGAATAATAATGGCAGAGAAGTGAGAAATGCCCATTAACTGTCCCCTCTGACCAGTCACTCCTGCTGGGTTAGCAGTCCAACCGTTTTCTACCTGAAGTTTCACGCTGGATGTTCTTTCCCTCAAATTATCTACCGGTTAAAATCAGGTCCATGCCAAGAGAGGGGAGTGAAAGGGCCACTCTGGATTTCAGCTTATCTTTGTACAGAGCCTCACACAATCAATACCATTCAGAGCTGCAGGGCTCCATCTTCCCATAAAACCACTAGCTGGGAAGCAAAGAGAGCAGGGAAGGGAAGGGAGATAATTGCATCGGTGGTATTTTTTTCCTCCTGTGTGATTAGAGCCATAGGGCACTCTGCAGTCAGGGTTAGCATGGATTTATATGCACACACTGGAGGAGATATTCCTGTTGATATTCCTGCCAGACTCATGTTTTTTTCCATTCCTCAGATGATTTATTTTATTGGGCTTTTGGGTTTTTTACTGGATGTTATCACTTGTTTAGTTTACCACTTCCCACCTTGTCATTCTTTCAACCTGAAAATCCCAGGCAAAAAGAAACACATCCTGTCCTTTCTGGGAAGGGTTCCAGGAGCATCACGAGGATGCAGGAGCACTTGACATTTCTCCATTGTTATTAGAGAGACTGATTAGGAGATGCTATCACAGGCACTGATTAATATGCATTCAGGACAGCTGATAAGTAGGAAAGCAATTCTCAGGCACTAAAAAAAGAACTCCTGCACAAGGGGATTATCAACAGGTACCTTTTTGCCCCATATTTAATCTGCCACATGCAGATGCCTGTAAGCATCTGCCTTCCCTCATGCCTGGCTGTTCCAAATCCCTAGAGGTGTCCAAGGCCAGGTTGGAGGAGGCTTGGAGCAACCTGGTCTGGTGGGAGGTGTCCCTGCCCAAGGCAGGGGGTGGAAGGAGATGAGCTTTAAGGTCCCTTCCAACCCAAACCATTCCATGATTATGTGATTCTCTTCCCACCTGCAGCACTGACTGTGGGGAGCAAAGCCAAATGCACAACCAAACCCTTCATGTTCTCCATCAGCTTGGGGGAAATGGAGCATAACCGGCTAAAGATGCACCAAAAATGAGACCAACACCACCATCACAGACATGAAATCCTGAGCACAGATGTAATGCTTTGCTCCCTGTGCAGTCCCACAGCCTCCAAAGCCTGGACTGACTCCCTGTCCAAAAATGCCCAGCATTAAAACACGTCCCACAAACAGCAGGAATTCCCAAGCACTTCCCACCTGCACTAAGATCCCTGTCAGCCAGAGCAATTAGGACCAAAACCTTTGAGAGAAGATAACCACCAAGCTCCAGTGGGAGAATATGGGAATAAACCAGGCAATCCCCAGTCCTGGAGAGCTCAGGACAACCTCAGGCCTCCTTTGCCTGATTTCAGGCCTTGCCAGGGAAGGACGAGGAGACCACCCTGTCTCTAAAACAACCCTGTCACACAAGCTGCCCTTTTCCATCCAGGCTTTGCAAATAAAGACCAAAAGAGAATATGAAAAGACAAAATATCATGAATGTTTCAAAGGGTGTTCTTTTGCAGGCTGAAGGAAACCCTGCAACGCAGCAGAGCTACAGAGAGAGAGATTTTATGTGGAAGTAGCAAAGGCACAAAGAAACATCTGCACATCATTTCATGACTTTTAACTGGCATTTTAGAGCTTGGCTAAACCAACAGCTCAGTTATGAGTCTGGCACTTCTAAAGCTGGCATTCAGCACAGATGCTTAGTGGAAAAATGATTTTCTAGTCAGCTAGTGCTGACGCTGGACTCCCATCAATGGGGTTATTGCTGTGTTCCCATCAATGGGCACATTGCTGTATTTTCTCCTGAAATTAAGAGCCGTTTTCAGCCCTAAATCTGAGACTCAGCCCCAGCACAAGCTGCATGCTCCGTGCAATGAGGTGTCCTTCCCACAGCTGCAGATTTCAGAAGCCAAAGTCGGTTTTAAAGAAGTGTCAGGGACTAATGCTCTCCACTGTTAAAACCACACAGAAAGATGACGTGTTCCTCCGTACCCCTGCAACGTGCCCTCCTCGTATCCTAACAGATGGCAGCTTATTGATTCCCTCCCTACCTGTGCATCCATCAGGAGGTGCCTCATCAGCATCATGGCACTTTTCAGGGATTCCTTCTCGCTGGGCAGAAAGGCATCTTCATCCTCATCCAGCGCTTTTGACTTGTTGACGATGAAATGGGAGATCTGGTCGTTCAAGGAGTGCAGTGACTCAACGGCTGTGGAGACAGAGAGGGGAGGCAAAACAGGAGTGAAATCAGGCTGGAGGGAGCTGGCAGAGTTTTCTCAGGTGAGTGCCATCCGCTTTTGGAAAATGCAGCTGGAACTTGGTCCCCACTGCCTCCCTTGCCCCCTCTCCTGAGAGAACCAGCCAAGGCATCGTGAAGACCGGCGGGTGAGACCCTGAGCAACCTGGTCTGGTGGAAAGGGGGGTGTTGGAATGAGGTGGTCTTTAAGCTCCCTTCCAACCCAAACAGTTCTAGGATTCTATGGTGATGTTTCTAAGCTCAAGTAACAGGTCATGGCTGGAGTAAAAACAGGAAAATGATTTTTAAAAGTCAGTCTCTCTACTTTCAGCCCATGTGCAGGGACCCAGAATGTCAGGACTGTGTGAAAGGTAGAAGCTGGAAAAACTGGCTTTTTATTAGCTAGGGTAGGAGTGAGCAAGACCAACAACTAAAATATCGCTCATTTTCTTCCTTCACGATTATGGGCATTTGAATCACTGTTAATCTTTTAAATTCCCCTTCATGTGGTCAAAGCCCAGGTGTTACATGCGAGATTCTGCTCCCAGTCATTGCACATCAGAAATCACCCCATCCACGGCTCATAGAAATGCCCCTGCAACATCACACACTTTATGAAGCTGCAATTTCTATATGAACCCAAATGTGGCCAAATCTATTGCTGCCCAACGAAAAGCTTTGGGTTTCCACGGATTTGAAAAATCTCCCCTGCAATTTGCTTTTCAGCCGTCACAGGTTTGGAGGTTTCATTTTTTACCGGCGGCTCATTAAATGAATGAGGCTCAGATGATTCTTGGTCGTATTTTCTCTCTGCTGGTGGCTCAGGCAGTGGAAGCCTTTGATAATCTCGTGGCTCAGAGTAACACATCACTGTCACACACACTGAACATCCTGCAAATCCTGGCTTGCTCAGGCTGTTTATGAATAAGGCAATGTGTTATTCAGGAGTCTCTGACAAACTGATTTTAAGAACACAAGGCAATTGCAATATACTCGACCCAGTTCTGTCTGAAGCAGATCTCAGAACAAAATTTGAAGTGGTAAAGATTAGCCAGAAACTGCTTGTTGAGGAACAAATCTTCCCCAGACAAAAGAGCCACAACAAATCACAGGTATGGCTCCAAAATGCAGCAGGGAAAGAGCAGAATCCTCCTTACTGAGTGGGTTCATCTTTTATTTGAAAGAATAAAATAAAATCTGTGCCATACAATGTCTTGGTGAGTGTCTGGAGGGGACTGGGGGGATTCTCCACTCACAGGGTGTTCATGTACCTCCTCACTAGTAGAAAAGGTGTTGGAGGCTCACCTTGATGGATGGGTCCATTTTCAACCACACCATAAATCATACAATGAATCATGGAATGGTTTGGGATGGAAGGGATCTTAAAGCTCAGGTGGCTCCAAGCCCTGTCCAACCTGGCCTTGGACACTTCCAGGGATCCAGGGACATCCACAGCTTCTTTGGGCAACCTGTGCCAGTGCCAATCTTGATGGCACAATAATTTGACTGATGGGTGGGACTCTGGCACATCACACAGTGTTGTACATCACAAGCCAGGCCACCCTCCTGCTTGAGAGCCAAACATCTCCTGCTCATGGGTCAGTGCAGGTGAAGCTGAGGGTGTCCCAGGGTGATGCCCTGCACAGGACTTGGATTTTGGGGGAGCAGTGTAAGGGTGATGGAAACCACGTGCAGCTGAGCTTCCCCAAGCCACCATTAAAAAATCACTTTGTAATCATATGCCCTCCCACCAACCAACACTCCCGAGCCCCAGGGAGCTGCAGGTTTTCCATGCAGGAGAACAGTAGGTACCTGGCAGCACACAGGCAATGATGGAGTTGATTTTCTTATTTTTGATTTTATTATCACTCCTGGACTGAACCAGCATCTCTATCAGATAAATCAGTCCTGAAAGCCACCTTCCCAGCACTAATGCACGAGTATTGATTCCTCCCATCCTTTCTGACCAGCAAAGAATTGAGGACAGATCATTCCTTTCATACTCTGAGATTTTGGCTGCAGCCCTAAGCCCACATCTGCTTCCAGTAATGCAAATGTATAGCAGAGTTCTCCTCCTCGAGCTGATGGCTACCTTCCAGATTTACACTGGAGCCTTTCTCCCAGGCTTTCTGATTCTAAAGTAATTCAAAACAAACTAAATTACATTATCCTAAGTTATTCCAACCTCCTTATCTGAGGCAAGAGCTCTGCATTCTCCGATATTTCCTCCCTCACTCTTTGGAGTTGCTCTTACTCTTTGCTCTGTTGGAGAACACAAGAAGCTCAGGGGGGCAAATGCTTCTCTCATTTGTCATTCTCTGGGCTTAGAGAAGTGCCAGAGAAATCAGAAGAAATATTTCCCAGTAAGCATGTGGGAAAAGCAGATCAGTATTGACTTGGGCTGATTTTTATAGGGATCTGCCATGGTGCTGTGTTTAAACTCTGCTTAGCAAAACAAACCTTTTCCCATGAGCATGATGGAAACAGTATTGGAAAATAAGATCCTCTGTGTCTTCCTCATGAAAGTAAAAGAAGCATTTCCAAACCTCCAGCCTACACACAAAGTGAAAACAAAGGAAGCTGAAAAGACCAAACCATTCCTGACAGTGGTTTTCTGGAAGTCCTGTGTCAGTCTGCAAAACTGCTTCCAAAGGGCCCTCCTCATCAGCAGAAGAAATTTGGTATTTCTCATTTAAATCAAGAGAAATTTCCTGCCTTTTGCCCTCTAAAAAGCTAAGGGACATGGATAATGAGGCAAACCCTCTGTCCCTCACAACGTTACAGCTCAAACATTTCTACTGAGCAGTACTTTCACTAACCCAGACAAAGAGGTAAGATTCTTTCTCAAAGAAAAGAAAAAATATGGACCTCAGACATAAACACAGGTATGTTCAGTGGAAATTAAAAGATGCTTCTTGATCCCCTGAAAGGAAAAAAAGAAAAGAAAAAAAAAATTGGAGATGACACTTTTCCCTTGTTGTATCATTCCTCTTGGCTCGAGGTTGGTAACACATCAGTAACTCTGTGAGACAACCAGCTAAATAAAAGTTACAACTATCAAAGTCCTGTCAGCACCCCAGCGTCTCCCATTGCAATTTCACCATTTCCTCACTGCAAGGAACAATTTCAAGAGGTGAAGGAACCGTAACAACCCTCTGTTAGTGCTCTGACGTCACCTACGAGAAGAGAGCAAATAATCTCTCCGGGAGGCTGTGGCTCTCCCTGCTGCTCTCAGAGAGGATGTGCTGTGCTGGGGTGGTCAGGTGAGGACCATCTGCCACCCCCAGGAGCGAGAACAGGTCAGCAAAGTTGGTTTTTTGCAGGGCAGAATCACCAGAGCCTGAAGGACGTGCAGGGGAGAAAGGAAATTGCTTTCTGCCCGAGACGAGGGAAAAATTACACTTGCGCCAAAAACTCATTCAAGGAAGAGGCTGAAGCAATAAAGTTGTTCCAGGAGACCCCATTTTATACACTCCAGCTACTGCCCAGATGAGCACAAAATAAAATAAAGCATAGATAATATATCCTGAGATCTACTGACAAAAGCCAGCAGAGTCTAAAATTAAGTCTCGCCAGCAGGAGTGACTAAATGAAAGAGGACGGACACGACATAATTTTATCAAGGGAGGCTGCACGAGGATTCCTGGACTCATCTCCTGGCTCTGCTGCATAGAAATAGAGAGGACATTTAAGTGTGAGCAGCCAGCACTCGCCACTGGAGATCTGCTCCCACGGAGAGCAAAGTCAAGAAGCTGCACTGCAGGCACAGATCCTTTGAAAACCCATCCCAAAGGAGCGTGTTGAGAGCTCCAGCCTGCCAGGGAACCTCGCTGGCTAACGAGGCTCTCGGAGTGTCTGCAGAGACAATCATGTGTGGGGGTTAAAAAGGTGCAATTCATTATGGCTTCGTGTTACCGAAGAGCTTCTCAAACCACATCTACTGGTTTTGCAGGGAGGGAAAATAAAAGTTCTCCAGGCACTTCGGGCCTCCCCTGTAGGAGTTCTCCCTGTGTTCTCCCACTCTGCCCCATCAGAGACAGCCACGGGGTTTGGTAACATGTGGGGCCCCTGAAACAACCAAATGACTTTCAGCATCTCCCACATTATGGAATCATAAAATGGTTTGGATTAAAAGAGATCTTAAAGATCATCCAGTCCCACCCCCTGCCATGGGCAGGGACATCTTCCACTAGCCCAGGGTGCTCCAAGCCCCATCCAACCTGGCCTTGGACACTTCCAGGGATGGGGCAGCCACAGCTTATCTGGGTAACCTGTGCCAGGGCCTGCCCACCCTCACAGCCAAGAATTCCTTCCCTATATCCCATCTAACCCTACCCTCTGGCACTGGGAAGCAATTACCCATGTCCTGTCACTCCAGGCCCTTGTCCAAAGTCCCTCTCCAGTATATTAGGAGCTAAATTATAAATATAACACAGTCTTATTTTTATTATTGGGGTTGTCTGATGGGTCTCTTGCTGGGTTCAAAAAAAAAGAGGACATTCAATACACACAACAATTTATTTTTGCCTGATTGATGATTCTGATCAGGAAGCCTTTCCTACTGTAGCATTTGCTAATTGCATTTGGACACATAAATTAATTAATTCACTTAGCAGTCGGAGAAATCTCCCTTTGTAAAAGCCAAGCTCACAGAATTACAGAATCATCTGAGGTTGGAAAAGACCTCCAAGATCATCAAGTTCAAACTTCAACCAAGTATCACCATGTCCACTGAACCACATCACACAGCACCACTCCTACGCATTTTTTGAACACTTTCCAGGGATGATTACTGCATAACTTCCCTGGGGAACCCTTTCCAAAGTTGAACCACTCTTCCAGTGAAGAAATTTTTCCTAATATCCAACCTGTTCCCCTCTCCCGAGGGGTTTAACACCTCTCACTACCAACCAGATGAGAGGCTGATCTGCAAAGCTCATGGGCATCAGGATCACAAGCTCTGAACCATATGA